GTGAGGGGTTCACAAACAAGAGGAAGTTCAGAAACAGTTGAACAGCAACGTAGATTATTTTGTGAACCCTTAAACAACAACTAATTGCCTCTAGCCTTTTTCCTGAAATTTGTATTATTGTCTGATTAATAATTTATGGTGGAAAAAATTTATCAAAAAGACTAGTGGAAATATTTCTAGAATCATTTGTACTATGAAGCAACAGTGCGGTGTAATCTTATAAATTCCCTGTCTGTCCCAAAGCCTGAAGCTGGGCGGTTGAAAGAGAGTACTGCAATGTTTCTGGGAGAAGTCTAGTATGAAATGTTGAAAAACATGGACGTTGGTGAAATTACTTGCCAGTGGTGTGTTTATACCCACTTAGATTTACTTAAAAGCATGTGTGGTTATCACAGTAATTGTCTTTGTCATAACGATTGCTGTAATTATTGTGATCGCATCTGTTGTTGCCCAGCTGTAGTTGGGGATAGGTTTTATTCAGTTGACACTGTGTAATTAGGGTCTTTTTATTTCTTCTTCAGTTGGCAGTTCTGCAAGTAGTAGTGCCACAAGGAGAGATTCTCTATCTACTAGCTCTGACTTGTACAAAAGATCTAGTAGCAGCCTAGCACCCATAGGGCAGCCATTTTACAATAGTCTGGGATTTTCCTCCTCTCCAAGTCCAATAGGCATGCCTCTGCCAAGCCAAACGCCAGGACATTCACTTACGCCACCGCCATCACTTTCATCACATGGATCCTCATCCAGTTTGCATTTAGGTAAAAAAAACAAAAACAAAAAACCAAAAAAACACTTTTTGTTTGTATGTGTGTATGTATTTCTATGTGTAAAATATATGTTGCATAAGAGATGTCACATTACCTTTGCTGTTAAACAGTTTTGTAATGAAGAGGGGCCATTCCTGAAAGATGAAGAGCACACTCAAATGCTCATTGATTTGACAGTGGAGGGCACTCAGCTTTTGGCAGTATCGGGCCAACAACTGATTTTTCTTCCCTTGCAGAAGCCCGATAGAGAGCCCAGTAAGAATTATTGGTCCTTGTATTATGTTTCCACAGTATGACAAGCAAAGGTGCATTATTTTTGTTTCCTCCTCAGTGTGTTACCACTTTAAGGACACTTTAAGATGATGTTGTGTTTAACAGTGAAGTGACTTTCACTAATACCCCTTACCATGATAAAGGAGAAAAGTGAGCAGTGCCCTCAATGTAAAATGTGTTGAAAGGTGATTTTTTTGAATCAGTCAGCCTCCTGCTTCATGGCCCAGATGCTCTGCCACGAAGATAGTAGTTCATCACCAGGCTGGTGGAATTAAAAGCAAAGAAAAAAAAAAATAAAGTCATTTGTGAAAGAAATAGCAAAGGCATTGTCAGTGGTGGCTCTTTGTTACCGGATGTATTTTTTAAGGAATGCTGATAATAATCTCTTAGGAAAATTTTTAGCTAGTTAGATGATATGGGAGCTCAACCTATTTTTAAAAATAATTAAAAATAAAATAAAAATTAAAATTTCTAAAGCAACCCCACCACAGTCTACAGTATATGTAGAACATAATGCCTCTAGCCTGAGGTTACCTGATAAACTCTTCCTTTGATTCTGCAAATATTTGCAGTTGTTTAATTTGGATGCTAAAATCATGCAACAAAACTGGATGTAATTCAAAATTGTGTTGCCTGTTGCTCCAGTAACTGTTCAGTGCACAGGACTATGCTTGCAATAGGCAGCCTAATCCCCTATACTTCTCTTAGTGCAAATAAAACAGGAAAAATTAAAAAAAAATGTATACCAGAATATCATTTTATCACAGAAATGTGTGAGTGATTTGTATAACAAGGTTAAATAATTACAATATATTACATTTACAGTACAGTATCCCCTTCACGGTTAAGTGCTGAATACCCGAAGTAAAACTGGGCAAGGGGATGTTTCAGCACGTTTTATTTTTTTTTACTTACCTTTTTTCCTTTTTCAGGTCTACAAAGTGCACCTTTGGGCTGAGACCAAGCATGGAAAGTTTCAGCCCAAATGGAGGCTTTTGAGAAAGTTCTGAACATCTGACAATGGGGTTATCATGGAAATCTTTTTCTTTCTTTCTTTTCAAAGTATTCTCACAATAGTTTTCATTTTGCTGAAAACTATACTTAAACCAAATTTTGGAAGGCATTATCTAAAATTTAAAACATTCAAAGTTTTGTGTTGTTTCACATTTGATAAATGTTAAAGGACTTCTTTTTTCAGTTCTGAGAAAATAAGCTGTGATCAGGTATAGAGGATTACCTCTATCAGCAGAAATTGTTAAAATACTGACCCATTTCAAACTGTTTGGCAGTGTGAACTAAGCCTAATGGTTTGTTAAAATCATGTACTAGATCAGTGTGTAATGGCCAGAACATGCAGTTGTACTCTGAAAATTGACACAACGTTGTTGGCTTCCATGTGTCCTCTTCATCTTCCAAATGAAGTGGAGCTTGATTACTGCTAAACTTCTTGTTACATTACCAAATCAGTCTGAAATTTGGAAATGCAGGTCGTTTGGTTATTTGCTCTCACAAAAAAACCCAGTAATTTTTGTAGCCTTTCCTGCACTCTGCCCTGTGTCATGTTTTTGCACAGTTACAACATCCAAGGTGCACCATTGCAGAGTTGAAGACTATTTCTGCAGTTAATTGTCTGTCCTGTTATATCTGTCGTGGTGTGTTCATCAACCACCCTTGGAAGCATGTTTTATTCTCATATATTAAAAACAAGAAAAATCAACGCTTCCTCACCAAGTGAGACGTTATACCTGAAATCACACAAGGAGTATATTCTAAGAAGGGTATGGTCATCATGTAGTCACTTTTCAGAGTAGAACAGCATTGTAAGTTCATGTCTGCATGCAGTTTCCATTGGTATTCTGATAATGCCTGTCAAATGCAGCTCTCCCTCCACCTTCAAAACTTGTCCTGCCTGCTTATATCAACAGGTTCAGCTAAGTTTAACTCCTGTCTTACAATGGGCATCAAACTCGGTTGCTCCTGTTTCGGTCACCAGAATACTAGAGCACAACACTGGGAAAGGGTGCATGGTTTTATAACCCCTTTGTCAGACACTGCTGCAATTTGTAGCTTAAAAGACCAATTTCTCTTTTACAAGAGATTAATGATACTTTACTGGTTTTATCTCTTCTCACCAACTTTTATCCAACATCCTAAAATAGGAATGTGCTAATAAATTTGTGCTAGTACTAGTTTTCCTGTGTTTGAAGGGATTTGTCAGTTGTTTGTAACTGCTTCTTTATTGTAATCAGTTGGAGCAGTAAGGTCATGAATTTGAACTACCCTTTCACTCCCAGGGACAAAGAACTGCAAGAGGAAGTGGGTTTTGTCATAAAAACCCTTTTAGATTGGTAGTGCTAATTCGATTTGATGGTACATTGTAGCATTTTAAGGTTTTGGTGTAGAGTAGGATTTTTTAAGTCTGGGCTTTTGGAGGTAATAATTTTCTGTGTTGCAAGCCAAGCTTGTTAGTAGTTTGGATTGATGTTTTATCTTCAGAAGTGGTCACTCTGGGTAAGGGTAGAGGCCCCTTGGCAAGGCAGTGTGGGGAGCTTGGCGTTGCCTCTCCTGCTTACCTACTCTGTAGGGCTTCGGTAAACCAGGCATGATGAACACTTGCATTGATTCCTAAAATATGCATAATGTATGCATAGCTATGTGTAACTCTGTTTTCCATGTGAAGATTTTTAGCTGAGGATGAGATGAAGCTACTTTTTTACAGATGAACAAATACTTTATAGAAATCAAGCTTAAAGCATTTATATACACGTACACGTGTTGGTAGAAGATACTGCTGACTGATGTAAACAGCTGCTGTGCAGTCAATCTGTTTTCTGTCTTGATTAGAAACTACTGAAAAAGATACTTTGATAATAAGTACTAACAGACTAATGCTGTCAAAATAAATGTGCCTAGATATTTAGTTTTTAGTATTTTTTCATGTTCTCCTTGACATTAAATTCACTCCATGTTAAGGAGTTAGTAATTTAACATGCTTTGTGTCCTTGAAGCTTAGTAAGGCTCTGGTTGAGATGATCTAGATCCCCTTTATATTTCTGTGTCTTTTCTTCTCTGTGGACTAGCCTCGGGGATTTAGGTTCAATTAAACTGTAAAACAACATAATATTATTCATTACATTGGAGATGTTTGTTTTACGAGATCAGAAGTGATAGCTGAGTGATTATCTGAGAATGAACTGCACACTTGAGTCCCCAAGAGTTTGGAATTGTATGGCTATACTGATGCCTAGTAAGTTTGTTAATTGACCACTGTTTGCAGAAATGTTTAGACTAGGTGCTTTATTCATCAGGGTATATTCCCCAAATAATTTATAAGACCTAGGCTGTTACTTTCATAGTGTGGAATCAGAATCTGCAAAACCAGTGTCCTGAGTCCTTGAAGAGCATTGGGGTTGCAGTAGGCTAACAGGAAGGGTTTGGGTAACTAAAATTCAGGTTTCAGCTTTGCTTTTCTAAACTGTCGACAGTCCTTTCAGCAAAGGAGACCAGGTGTCCTTAATGTCCACACTAATGCTTTGGGGGTTTTGGACTAAGAAAGTAGTAAGTACAGTATTCTAAGAAAATAGGCCATTGTATACACAAGCATATCTGCATGTAATAAGTACCTATGACAATATGCTTTTATTTTGAGGAGTTTACTATTTTAAAATCTGCAAAGTTGCCACTGAGCCATAACACTACCATAATAAAAGGTTACATGAGAAGAAAAGCTAATTACTTATTAAATTACTCCTTTTTTATATAATAGTGTCCAGTGTGTGCTTTTGAGTGTGACAGGTTCTTCTAGGCACAATGGATATGCTTCCAGCCTTCCAGTATTATGGTCCTGCTTAACGTGATTGTCTGAAGTAGTTTCACAGACTAGACAGGAGCCTCCCAGTTACGGTATAGTCATCTTACAGGTCTTAAAAAGTGGTGGTTCCCAAATTAGACTGAAAAAAGGCTTGATAATTCTGGGCATGAAATGTATACTACACACATAAACATATTTGTTTAAAACTGCCAAGTATCTTAATTTCTCTTTTAGTTGCTAGTTAAATTGTTGCATTTAATTTATACAGATATGAAGGCTCAGATAACGATTCCTGATTCACATGTGCAATTCTGTGACTGTGTATGCTGATTGTGAGCATATGATGGAATCTTGGTTTCTGGTACAGAATTGGGCATGTGATCAGTGGAGCAGTAGAGGTGCTACAACAGGGAAGTAGCTTATGACTCCCTTTCAGATGGGCTTTGGTGCCCTCTCGTGATATTAAGTAGTGTTACTGCACAGCACTTACAGGGAAGCCAGGATTGCATTCATGTGTTTGCATAGTCGAGATAAGAAGTACCATAGTTTGAGCTGCATAACTTTTTGTTCTTTGGAAAGCCTATGACTGCAGAGCATCACTCTGCATACTGCTTCACCTGCAGAATGTTGGGTTCCTTTGTTCCTTTTGTTTGTACCATGTTGCTGTCAGCTCTTTCCTGGAAATAGTGCTTGTTAAAAACACTTGATTCTGCTGGCTGTAAAGAATTAAGAGACTTTAAAAGAAAACCTAGTGTTCTTTTTAAAAGGTATTCTGGGGCATAAAGTATATACTGGTTCTTTTCACTGAATTTTGAAAACTAATTATCAAATAAGTACTAATTATTTCCATTTTAGGGCATAATACCATACAATACAATAAATGTGATGCTTGATGTGTCTTGCAGAGCACTAACGTCTTGGATTATGGTATTGCAATTCGACCTTTTGAAAAATATAACTTGACTATTAATACATTACCAGTCCACAGTAACACTGTTGTTGCCTGGCCTTATAAATACTTGGAACCAATAAAAGGCTTGGCTGGGGCACCATCAGCTCTTTTTTCTTTTTTTTTTTTTTTTAAAAATCAAGTTTGTAATAGAGCACCATTCAAACAGCACATACTGCAATTTGTTTTAAATTCCAATGTAGATATTTATTCTGTTGACCTGGAAAGGACTTCAGTTACTACTTCACTTTCTAGACAGGGAAACAAAATGCCTGTTCATAATCAATAATTTTAGGGGCTTTTTGTTTTTGTTTTTTTGTTTGTTTGGTTTAGTTTTAGGGTTGAGGTTTCTAGGTGGGAATTGTCTTTGAATATTTCTGCTTATAATAAGAGTATCCCTTTAAAAAGTCATCCTGTAGTTAGGGAAGATGCTTTGCATGCTTTTTGTGATAACTGCTGCCTGTTGTAAAGTGTGGGGAGAGACCTGCTGGAGGAGTTGAGTGGCACAAACTGATCAGAGAGCAAAATGTGAGAAGAAAGAATAGTGGAGTGATGCGTGTTTGTGCAGGCAGCAAGGAAAGGACTTCTGATGTTTCTAAAAGGAGCTTCAGTTTGATATATCTGAGGTTGTTTTAGAATTAAGTAGAGTATTCTTAGTTACCTGGTTTGAAAATTGACATACTTAGTGCTTACAAGAGGTATCAGGTTGAAAGCCTGGGATGCTGAAGTCATCAGATACTCTGCAGGACAGGTACAGCATGGCAAGAGGCACCACATGAGCCTCCCCCAAAACGCTCTTACACACTAAGTTGGAAAAGTACCTCAGTAGGGACTGAAGGGTAGTTCAGATTTCATGGTCTATTTTGAAGCAATTGGCGAACTTCAAGGCTACTAACAAGGGTATAAACCACTATGAAGTGGGTATCTGCCCACTAAGCTAAGCCCCACCCAGTTATAAAGTTTCTGTTATCCTGAGTGGGTGCTCACTTTACCTGCTTTGATATATTTTTCTAATGACATTTCTTTTCCTGGTGCCCTTCACATAAAATAAAAATGAGGAGGAGAATGGTTTTATTTATTGGAAGATAAAGCTATCTAACTCCTCCAACCATAATGAGGTAAATACAGATAACAAGACAACACTGTTGTTTTCTTTGGCTCCAGGGTGTATCCATAGTTCTAGTACATTTACTGTTTTGCTCTTGCTTATTTTCCTCACGGCTTTTACTGACAGAACTGCTTCCTTGTAGGAGGACTGACAAATGGTAGTGGTCGCTATATTTCTGCAGCACCCGGAGCAGAAGCAAAGTATCGCAGTGCGGCAAGTACCTCCAGTCTTTTTAGCTCCACCAGTCAGCTCTTCCCTCCTTCGCGCCTCCGGTACAGTAGGTCTGACATTATGCCTTCGGGACGTAGTCGATTGCTGGAAGATTTCAGAAACAATCGTTTCCCTAATCTTCAACTAAGGGACCTTGTTGGACATATTGTTGAATTTTCCCAAGACCAGCATGGGTCTAGGTAATTACTATAGCATAGTTAATAACTTAGTAATATTTGACTGCTTTGATACTGTTTTATTAACATCAAACACTTGAATGAGCTGCTAGTCATCTTAATTCAAAGCGTGCCATTAATTGGAGCACATGCTCTTACACTGACCTTTTCCTTCTCTAGGAAATTTCATTGTGAAAGTGATATAAATTTAGCTGCCTGTAGAAGTTCTCAGTGTAGAAATGGCCTCATAACCAGGCTTGTAAGCTCTAGTATTTAGGTTTCAAAAAGGTGTTGATTAAGAAAGCAAAATACGTGACCTCTGGTATGTAAAACTATTTTTTGTCAGTACATCATCAGGTACTTAATTATTGTTAAGCTTTTCATCTTTAATCCTTTTCAAAGGAAAGTTTGTAAGTCAGATTTTACTGAAATGTATCCTTTTACATGCAAAGGCACTACTTTCATTTTAATAAACTTTATAAATGTTGAATGCTTGCTTTAGAGTTTTGAGGTGTCTCATTGAAACAGTGTTTGAGAGGTTTTCCTGTTGTTGATGTAAAGCATAATGTACCTTTTTTTGCACTTAGATTTATACAGCAGAAGCTGGAGCGAGCTACTCCAGCTGAGCGCCAGATGGTGTTTAATGAGATCCTGCAAGCAGCATATCAACTGATGACTGATGTCTTTGGAAACTATGTAATACAGAAGTTCTTTGAGGTAAGCATAGCACTAAGTGTATGGAGAAAAATGCAAACAAAATGCTGTAAATCTGATCAAATTAACTGGGATTGTCTTCATTCATAGCAGAATTTTACTGGACTTTCACAGAACTCAAGTGTAAAACACTGCACACGTTTTCTGTTCTGCATTTCCTGCTCTTTGTCATAATGGGCACAGTTTCTCTTTACCCTGGTGGTGCATGCATTGGTTAACACTGGTGACCGTACAGGCTGCACGTTCAGGCTTTGCAAGCTTTTTAGCAGAACTTTAGGCAGATGAGAGTGAACATAAATATATGAAAGATATTTTTTATTGGTTACTGCATCATGGTATAGAGTGGAAAACGCTCATGTGCTCAAATAAGTAGCTGTGTGCACTGCAAATGAGGAAACTCACATAAAATGCATTGAGGTGGAAGAATTTTGAGTGTAGGATGTCATAAGATACATCCAATATTACTCCAGCTGGTGTTTAAAGCAGCTTTGTTTTCTGTTAAAAACGATATGGTAAGAAAAAGCAGCCTTATCACTGCATTACAAGATTTGACTTGCAGAGTAGAAAAAACAATATCTGTGTCCTGGAAAATGTTATATGTAGAAAAGGTATCAAGCATAGTGTATTTTAAATCAAAGTATCTTGGTGGGTAAAAAGTGAAGCTGGAAAATGTCCAGTAAGAAATCAGATGGTTGCTGTAATCAGGAGTGTAGTTTTTAATGACTAATCTATGAAACTGTGATCACTTTTTTACTTTTTTTTTTTTCCAACAAATCAAACTTTTCTGGTAAATATCGCTGACATATGGTGTGCAAGGTCTTGATCTCGCTCAAGGCTCATCAGCTGCAGATTTTTTTCATAATGTTAGGTTGGATGATACGTAGATAATCATTCAGTTGAGGTTTTCATCTTAATTCTGTAGAATGGTTCTCAAGAAAAAAGTGCACTTGGCCTTATCTGTAGTACAGGGACCTTTGTTCACTATTTACGTAGGCAAGAGAAGTTGTTGAGCTTTCTTCAGAGTTGACTGCAGGTGTGGAGTTTGACACTTCTCAGCAATGTTGCATGAGTATTGCTAGTGCCACCAGCAGATCATCCAGGTGATGACTTCTGTGTGCTCTCTTGTACTGTGCCAACTCAAGAGATTCTGGGAACAGGGTTATGTGTATAAGTCATGAAGCTTGTCTGGCTCCTGCTCTGCTCAACGTTGAGCAGTGCAGAAGGTTGCAGTAGCACCATGAAGGAGATAATATATATAGGCATCAGCTACTGCTGAATAACATTGGTTGAATCGTATTCTTAACACAGCCATTGTACAAAACCATTCTGATTTTGTTCTGCAATGCCCAGGTATTTCTAGATTTGCCAAAGTGCTCATGGTGAGAATGGTGGTTCAAGTGATGTGAAGCTACTTCAGGGATAGAAATCTCACCCCTCTCTCCCCTTGTCCCTTCCTGTTACTGTATACAGACATACTGTAAGCTTACTTATTATATGCAAGATGTGAGATAACTGACCAGTATGAGTCTGAGATACCAGAGAAAATCTGATTTGGATTCATATATTACAGTGACTGGTAATTGATTTGCCAGGTAGAATTTGTCTGAATAAGTGGTTTATTGCACTTAAATATTCCCACAGACAGACAAGTTGCTTTGTCTTCTGTTGTCTTTCAAGGTCATGCATTTGATAAGCAGGTATGTGACTGGATGTGGAATATTACAAAATGTTGCATTTAGGAAAGAAAAACCTCTGGTCAGTATACCCACCAAAAATGCCAAGTGAACAATCATTCAAGTATTTACAATTAGAATTATGTTACAGTCACGTAATGCATCTTGAAAGTACTTGCTCTGACATGTAAGTTCCAGCATGCTGCCGTATGTCTTCATTTGGTAACAGCACATTTGCTTTCTTTTAGTTTGGAAGCCTGGATCAAAAGTTAGCCCTGGCAACACGCATACGTGGTCATGTTCTGCCATTGGCCCTGCAGATGTATGGTTGTCGTGTGATTCAGAAAGCACTCGAGTCAATCTCACCTGACCAGCAGGTAATTGTAAGTTAGAGCAATACTTTTTTATTTTATTTATTTATTTTTATTGTTGCCATCTTCTTATTCGCTTAAATTGTTGATTATTCCCTTCATCATGAAATGCCTTAGGAACCGAAATAGTTGTTTAAATGAAAATACTGAGGTGCACAAGTAACACCAGTGAATATGAAAATTGGGAATTAGGATGAAATTAAATATCCTTTGAGGGAGGGAAAAATCATTGTAAAGAAAAGGATAATTTTTTTTTTCCAGAATGAAATGGTGAAAGAGTTGGATGGCCATGTTCTGAAATGTGTGAAAGATCAAAATGGAAACCATGTGGTACAGAAATGTATTGAGTGTGTTCAGCCCCAGTCGCTTCAGTTCATCATTGATGCATTCAAAGGACAGGTAGTGTCAATGGTTCATTTCTTCTTCTGCAAGCTGCTTCAATTTGCAGGTCTTTGTCCATCATTTGCATATAAGAGATAGTGTTTGGCACTTTGCAGTCCTTGGTTTACTAGGATGAAAAAAGGGATGATAAAATGTGAAAGCTGTTGAAGATATAGTTATGTGGCTGAAAAAAGATGACTCTGGTGGAGAGGAGGCTCTAGAAAGACCTGTTTGGTTGTACTATCCCCCAGTGGATGTAATATAACTACATACAAGGGGTTTGGCTTACAGCCAGGCTTTGTGTTTTGTGATAACACCCTTTCACATTTCCTTCATAGCTTTTGACAGTGCCATTTTTTATGTAATAATGAAAAGTATGCTTTCTAGCATTTATTTTTCATTAAAAATTCTGTTTTCTTCTGTTGCTTATGTTGCACATCTGTCTGTCAGTGTTTCCCAATTAATGTCAATCGTTAGGGAAGTACTGTGATGAAATACAGTAATCTGTTCCCTTCATATGGGCTAGTGTGAAGGGAAGGAAGGGTAGTATTTGTTTACTTAAGGTTGGGGTTTTTGTTTTGTTTCCAAAAAGGTTATTAAGATTGATATTGTGCTGCAGCTGAATAATATTTTAATACTCTGAAACAAGTGTGTACTTTTATAGTCTTGAGAAAAATTGTAAAAATCTTACTAACTTGGCTGTGTAACTAAATTTTACTTTAATGGATGGCCAGAAGTATTTCCTAATAAAATCTACAATATCTTTCTCTCGTGTTTTACTCAGCAGCAATACCTGAATTACTGTTGTACATAGTAGTAAATTGCATACCAAGGTTTCTAGGGTCAGGTCTTTTTACATCAAAAAGTGTGTATGAGGTACATGAGATGCAGTTTCTAAACTAAATGGAGCCCCTTGACTAAAGTGTGGCCCTGTGTATTTACTGAACATCCATCCTAAACTCCTACTTTAGAATATTAGCTACTACAAAGTGGCAAATGAAAAATGCTACACTTCAGTCATGTCCCATATAACAATGTCTCCTTTTTACCTGCCTGCATTGTGTGGATCAGTGTCTAATCACACCAGATTCTGTCTTCAGTCTGACCAACTCTTAAATCTCCTGAATTAATCCCAAAACACAAATCTAGCTTCTGGAGAAGCAGGCAAAAGGAATATGCAAGATTTTGGCTGTATGTTTTGAATAGTTATTTACAAACTTCGTGTCTGTAACAGGAAGCCTGTTGTATATGCTGCAGTGTGAAACTGGTGAAAATCAGCCACCATAATTGAGCTTCTTTTTATAAATATCAAAATCTTAACCTTTGAAAGTTAAATACAAAGTTAAAAGGACAGCTTGGAAGTTGAACAGCACTTACGAAGGGTCACACTTCTAGGTTTTCCTTTGTAGCTACATGGGCTACAAACATTGTAATGAACAGTTGGGGTGTTAATTGTATGGTTACTGGAGTCCTTGACACACAAAACTGCTTTTTCGTCTTTTCCTGACTTACTTGAAAATGGAATTTTGGTCTTGGCAGGCAAAACTCTTTTTTACATGCCAAGTAGTTGTCATGTTCACTTTTACTTTGAACACAGTAATATTGCTCTGTGAACTTCCATTGGTTTAACTTGAGTTTGCAATCCTGTTTCGAGGTGTTTGTGCTTTCAACTCATCCCTATGGCTGTAGAGTAATTCAGCGTATTCTGGAGCACTGCACTGCTGAGCAGACTTTGCCAATCTTAGAAGAACTGCATCAACACACAGAACAGCTAGTGCAGGTTAGTGCAAATATATTCATTTTTAATGCATTTTAGAGCTTTTTGTTGTTGTAATTGATTCCTGTTCCATAGTTTAAGTGCGTTTACCTCTTTGGTTTTGTCGACATTGATTTTTTTTTTGTTTTTCCTTCCATAGTTTTAATGAAAATGAAGTTGGGAGGCAAAGAAGATGTAAAACCCTTTTCTTACACTTTTGAATGTAGCTTCGAATGTGCATTGTAAATGCACAGAATTAGTATATTTTTTGTTGCAAAGTTTTTATAGTTTGTCTTGATTCACACAGGTGTCCTTCAGATAACTTCTGATAATGTCTAAACAAAACTACATTGTCAAAAATACAGCAGTTATGTATTCTACACAAAAAGGGTGTTTTTTCTGAAGGAAGGCCAAAGACCTTATAGAACACATTTCCCATCTTGGTCTCAGACGAACAAAATGAGTGCTGTAAATGGTTTTGAAATTGAATCAGTTTAAAGTGCTGGAAGGTTTTCTGTATGCAGTAGGAATTTCCCCCCATAAAAAGCCAAGAGTTGCCTTTTGCTGCATATTCATAGTCAAGTTTATTTCTCAGTGGCTTCTTGTGTACACAAGTCTCTAGTTAAAACACAACTGTCTTGGGAGACTAAAGTTCAGGGAGATAGTACAGTTGTTAAAATTAAGTATGGGCTTAATTTTGATGATTTCTTTCTTTAAGAGGATAGAATGTACTCTAGCAATATTCTGGTTCTATGGATTTATGTACATGTAAATTTTGTTGTCCATTAATTAATTTTTGGTGCAGTATTTCTTGCATTGCTTTGTTTGTACAGTTGTTGACACTTGTGTTTTCCCTATATCCATGCAAATAGTAATTTCAAAAGTTTATGCTAATGTATAAATGCTGTATTTATTACTTGGTATAAACACAAAAGAAAATTGAAGGCATCTTATTTTCAGGATCAATATGGAAATTACGTTATTCAACATGTACTGGAGCACGGTCGTCCTGAAGACAAGAGTAAAATAGTTTCAGAAATAAGAGGAAAAGTTCTAGCTCTGAGTCAGCACAAATTTGCCAGGTATTGCACAGTCTTCATATGTTAAAGATTCACTGACCTTGTAAAGTTGTAGTATTAGATTTATTTATTGTGTTACAAAAAGGTTTTGATAGGGTTTTTTCCTACTGTGTAACTTGCCTACTGAAATTTCAAGATTTTATAGAGATGAAGAGTAGTGGTATTTTTATACTAGATGGGGAAGGACAAGGGCAAATGCCGTTCTGTAACAAAACAAAGATTCTGTGGGTTTATGGGTTGGTTTTTGTTCACTTTGTGCAAGTGCAGGGAGCTGGTTCCAAGTCTTCATGCGCGGCTCCCCAGAGCCAGGTGAAAAGCTCTCCTAGAATAGGATAGCTGATGCTGGGACTTCTGACTCTCAGTCTAGCTAAGCAATTTGCAAGTATATTATGGCCAGCCTTAAAAAGTGAGAGTCAAGTCTGACAAAGATTTTCTGCCTTAGGAAGTCTCAAAGACTGTTGCAGGAGTCCTGAAGTACTCTGAAATTGGAACCTAAAACTCATCCATAAGTGCTTTTTGCTGAAATACAGATTACATGCCTTTTGCTAAGGAAAAACATACTTCAGAATTCATTCTGGGTGATTTAGTGAGACTAACCCTGTCATCAGCATTAAGCTGAAATGCACTTATGGAGGCCTTTATTTTTAAAAAGAATTGTTTTCAAACTGGTTTATCTGGATTTTATTTTTTCTTTGCCTAAATAGAACTGTTCATAATCCTCTATCTGGCTTAATTTCTCAAGCACTAACTTAGGACCAGAATCACTTTGGTGGGTTATAAGCTTTGATGGCTTTTCCAGCTTCTGAGATATGTGGAAGGTCAGAAACTTCCTCTACAAAAAGGAATATTTGATGGGATCTCTGGTGTAGGCATGCTCCTGGAAAGCACCTTTATTCAGAAAGCAGGTGGCTTCGTATCTGGCTTTCTCTGTTGTGTGTTCAAAGGGCCCACAACCAAAATAAATGTGCCAGAACACGTCTGCAGCCTGAGGTCCAGTGTATCTACTGTAGGTCCAGTGGAAAATCTCTCCTACAAGATAATAAGTATCAGAAAATTATATTTTTAACATGGGTAGGCTGTAACTTCCTCAGTCACTACAGACTGAAGATTTGGAAATCAGGACTTGATGTGTTTGCAGTATGCTTTTCTTACTGGTATTACAATACCTGAACAGTTCAAAAATACTGAGAATTGCTACAGAAAAGAATGCTACATTTTCAGTCACGTAATGCATTTGTCTTTACTTTTCAGCAATGTGGTAGAAAAATGTGTAACTCATGCTTCTCGTGCTGAAAGAGCTTTACTTATCGATGAGGTGTGCTGCCAGAACGACGGTCCTCACAGTGCCTTATACACCATGATGAAGGACCAGTACGCCAACTACGTCGTGCAGAAGATGATTGACATGGCTGAACCTGCTCAGAGGAAGATAATAATGCACAAGGTATCTTTGTACATACTTTTAGTGATGTGAAAAATATTATCTGTGCTAATTTTTCTGCTAGAACACTTTCCCTCTAGATGTAAACTGACTACTTGTGTAATCTAGAAGTTGATGTGTGAGCATCAGTTTCAGTAGAGTTAATAAAGCAGAATACATTCAGGTCTCTCAGCACTGAGCTAAAAATGGAAATCCACAGAAAAGTTTCAAAAAGTTGGATTTCACATCCTCTCTGTGTCAGCTTTTATGTGAAAATACTTCTAATATGGAAGTCTAGTATCTATTATTTCCTGATTGCTAGTATGAATCCATCCTGCAGTTACCGCAAAAGAGATTCCTACACTTCCTAAGATACAGGCACATTTTTTACTTAATAATATCCAGACATGGGGAGCAGTGACATTGCCATAATGGCCTT